CCCGCAGCGCAGCGCTCCCTCCGCCCGTCTCCTCCCCATGGCGACAGCGGACGCCGCATCCCCGGCTCCGACAGACGAGCAGCGCCCGGAGCGCTCCGACAGCAGCACCGGCACGGCGGCCGGCGGAGGAACGGCAGCAACAGCATCAGCACGAGGAACGGCATCAGGAGGAGGAGGAGGAGGAGGAGGAGGAGGAAGCGGCGGCTCGCTGGAGCTGGCGGCGGCGCGGCGGCGCCTGGTGGCTGCGGAGTGCCGGCGGAGAGCCGCGGCGGAGCTGGAGGGCCGCGTGGTTCAGGTGCACTGCGCGCTGCGGCACGCCGAGCTGCGCCTGGCCGCCCGAGCCGAGGCGCTGAGCCGGCTGGGGAGCGGCGTGGCACAGGCACAGCTGGCGCTGGCCGCTCAGGGGCAGCGTTTGCAGAAGGGGCTCCGCCGCCGCCCTCGTCCCCGACCCGGTGCTTTGCTTGCCGCGGCCCGAGCGCTCCGAAGCTGCGTGCCCTGGGCGACCGGGAGATCGCGGCGTTCCTCCGTACACACGCCCAGCAGGAGGCTGCCCGCTGCGCCGCGCAGCCCCGCTTAGAAAAGAGGGGAGGTGGGTGGTTGGGTGGGGGGGAGTCGTGGGGGTGCTGAGGGCTTCGTGGGAACGCTGTGGGTTTGGGGAGCCGGAGGGAGCAGAGGGTGTGGAGGGGGTGTGAGAGGTGTCATGGGAATGCTGTGGGTTTGGGGGTCCTACGTGGCACAGGGGGATGCAGGACTGTGAGGGTGACTGATGGGTTGGGGTGCTGTGAGTTGGGGGGCTGTTAGGGGGATTCTGTGGGTTTTGGGGTCTGACAAAGCTTGCTCCGGTGAGGGGACCCTGCGGGGTCAGGGGGAGTCCATGGAGTGAGGAGGAAATCCAGCGGGATCTGGAGTCCTTAGGGGTGGTTTAATGGGGAGGGGGCTGGGATGCTTGGAGTTCCTTAAGGGGCTCAGTGGGATTGGGGAGCTCCAGAGTACTTAGCAAGGTCTGGAACCTTGGGGTGCCCTGAAGGATGAGGGTGAAGGGGTCCCTGGGGGACTCTGTGGGGTTTGGGATGCTTGAAGGACACAGCAGGGTTTTGATCCTTGAGTGCGTGGTGGGGAGGACCCAGCAGGTCTGGGAACTTCTGTGGGGTTGGGGGATCCTGCAGGGCTGGGGGTTTCCCTGGAAGATCACAAGGTCTGGAGGCAATAAAGGGGAACCTGCTGTCGGCACCCTCTGGAAGCAGCAGCCGCAATGGGGCTGTGCCCCTTCCCTCACATCGGGACACGAGTGCTGACATTGAGCCTGAGTGCAGCCCCATGCAGAACTGAGGGGGTTGGGGGCCACCCCACATCCGCCAGCCCCAGGTTGAGCTTCAGACTGTGCATCCTGGGAGGGCAGGGAGCAAAGAGGACCGGTCCTTACTGCAACGCTGACCCTACGTGGATCCTGCAGGGCTCAGCAGGACGGCTGGGGCTGCTCTGGTTGCCATCAGGCAGATAATGCTCAGAACTGGAAGCGTGGGGACACACTGAGCCAGCATCCTTCAGGCACCCCAATGTCACCCTGCGGCAGAGTCCATCCTTGCAAGCTCCGAGGAGGCTCGGAGTTGAGCTCAGGGCTGAGCAGAAGGCTTCTACAGGACCACTGAACCCCCCCTGCACCCCTCCAGCCCTGAGCCAGCCTTGGGATGGAGGGTTGGGACACAGCAGCACCGTCTCCATCCTGCTGGGATCGCTGCCAGCTGCAGCCCAGGCTCCTGCTTCACCGCACCGCGCTTCGTTCTGCTGCAGCTTTCCTCAGAGGCTGCGTGAATCCTGCTGGAAGAATCACAGCTCAGCTTTTGTGTTGCTTTTTTTTTTTTTTTTAATTTAAAGAATAAAAAAACCCCTCTGTTTTGAGGGGTCGGGGGGATGGGGGAGGGTCTCACTGACTCATGAATGTACCTTCCTGTGACACAGCAGGTCTGTTGTGTGCGCTTTGCTCTGCGGGTGCTGCCCTGTCCCTGCCTGGCAGGGCGATGCCAGAAGTAAACTTTGATATATTCCACTCATTCCGAGCTGTGTCTTGATGTGATCAGAGCAGGGATGAGCAAACGAGCTCCAATAACACCTCGCAATCAAACCCGTGCTATCAGATGGGCTCCTGTGCGTGTGCTGCTCCTTTTGCATCTCACCCTCCCCTGCTGGATGCTCCCTGCTTTCTGCCCTCCCGTGCTCAGCCCTAATCCTGCACACCCCACAGAGGGACAGGGGCTGCTGCTGGAGCAGCTTATGGGGCTCAGCCTGGAGAAGGGATGCGTTATCTGTGCCAGGCTTTCAATTAATAATATGAAATGCACAGCTTGGGCTTAATTCTCTTGGTTGGTTCCCCCCCCCCCACACACACACATACGCTCTCTGGTGATTATTTCCAAATCAGCTTTTGACCTGATTAGAGCAGGAACGGCGGGGAGAGACCTTAGGAAAAAGCAAATGATGATAATAATAATCCACTCCATTAAACCAGTAAGAATAAAATCATTCAAAGCCCTTCGGTGCAGCGATTCCTCCCCACGCCCTGCTCTCTCCATACAATCCCAGCCTCATCGTGCTGCGTGCTCCTGCGGTGCCTTTGGTAGATGGTTCGGTTTGTTTCCCTTTGTAGGGCAAACGCGGCGCCGAGGGATGCCCAGCTCTGTTTTCTCCTCCGAATCCCTTTGGGTCGGGCACGGGCAGAGCCGTGGGAGGGGACACGCGTGGGGCTGCGCGTACCGCTGCGGAGCGACGACAGCAGAGGGCAGTGCAGCCCGACGGAGCTCGGTGTGGGGCTGGGAGGGGGGGGGGGAGATGTGGGGCTGATGGGGGGCTGTGACACGGGGGGTTGAGGTATGGGGCTGATGGGGGGAGGCTGAAAGGAGGGGGAGGTGAGATGCGGTGTCACGGTGTCCCCTCGGGGTCCCCACCTGAAATGGTTCCCCTTTTCTCTCAGGACACCTCCATCCCCCTGCCCTCCATCTTGGTCTCCCTTAAAAGCCAATTAACCCCAATTAGCCCCAGTCAGGCAGAGCAGGTGGGAATTGCTCCTTCCATCCCCGATTGGCCCCTCAGAGCACCTGAGCCCAGCCTGCAGGATTTTGGGGGTTGTGGGGGGCACCACAGTGGGTTCTCAGGCTCTTTTTTCCAGCATCCAGGCCCAGCTGTGGTAGCAGTGGGGATGAAGGTGGCACCTCGTGGTGTTTTGGGATCTTTCTGAGCCCGTGAAAAGTTCCATCTCCCACCCTTCCCTGTGGCAGCTGCACCCCCGTGCTTCAGCCCCCCATTTGGACATACAGAGAAATGTCACTAAATCCCATTTTTAGAACTGCATTGCCCCATTGCTGCCCCCAACCCACAACTGAGGGTCTGAGACCCCCAGACTCGAGGTCACCATGGGGTCTGCAGCCACCTCATCCCCTGGGCAAAGCTGTTGCTGCCCGAGGCCATTTGGGACATCTCTGTTGTCGTCCCCCCTGCCCCCCCATGCTGTCCCTTTGCAAGTTTTCAGGTCTCAGGAATCCATTCCTGCTGCAAGTGGCCCCTGGGCCAATTCCCAGCTGCCTTCCTCCCATGCTCAGAGGCATTTGGCCCCTTGTGTTGTGGGACTGATGGAATCAGCTCTCAGAGGTTCTTTCTGCTCCATTGGGCAGCGGTGGGAAGCATCCATGCTGTGCTTTGCTGGCATTCAAACAGCTCCCACCCAACTCCCACAGATGCTGGGCAGGGTCCTGCCACCACCTCCCGTCCCCATCAGATGTGACCCCAATGAGGGGGTGACACCAAGCGTCCCAGCACCTGCGCCTTGTGGGAAGTGTCCCCTGCTGGGAGCCCTGGGAAGGGACCCCAAAATAACTCAACCACGTGTGCAGCATGCAGCCTCAAAGGGCAAGGTGCACGGAGGGGCTGTGCCCTGCTCACTGTCTCCTTGGGGCTGGAGGAGGTGGGAACGAGTCCCCACACACCCTATATACGTATATGTTAAAGCCCACAGCTGCTGGGCCCTATGGAGGAGGGCTGTCTGCACAGCAACCCGACCTGATGGGAGACCTGTAACCTGATCACGCTTCATTAAGGGTTTTAAAGAGGTTAATTGCCCAAAGCACTGACTCGCTGGCTGCGGTCACAGCTCCCCTGGGTGCTCCCTTCCCTGCTGCAGTGACCTGTGAGGATGTCAGCCCCAAAGCACAAAGGGAGCAGGGCTCTGGGGATTGGGCTTTGCCCTGCAGAGGCGGAGGGGAGCGAGGCAGCGCTCCGGGCTGTGGCACATCCTGGTCCCTGTGTGCGGTGAGGGATGGTTGTACCCAAAGATCAGCATTGTAACACCTGGGTTGTAATCACAGCTTTGGGGTTTGAGGAGAAAAGCCCCAGATTTTGGCAGATGTGATGCCTGAAGCAGCTCGAGTTGTCCCAGCAGTACTGCAGCCACCCGAGGGGAAACCAGAGGCGTTGCTGTGCCACCAACACACACGAGACAGAGAGGTGAAGGGCAGCACTGCACCCACAGCCCTTATTTTCATCCCGTTTAACACCTGTGAGCTCATCCCCTGCTGGCCTCAATGCGAGGAGGGGGTGAGGGATGATGCCAAAAGGACCCCCTGCACCTCATGGCATCCTGGGCACCGAGACCTGGCTGACATGGCTGTGCTGACGTGGGCACTATATCTGTCAGTGACGGGCAGGAAAGGAATCCATGGGGGAAGCCAAGCTGTGCTCAGCGCTCCCAGCCGCCTCTCCTCTTATGGAGCTGAGCAGGAGGGAGCAGCTCCCGTTATGGAGAAGCCCTGGGGAAGCCCTGGCTCGAACGAGCCTCCCCGCAGGGCCCCATAGGACACGATGGGGACGCTGTGATGGGGACACCGTCTCCATGGCTGCTGGTGAGCAGGAGGAGGAGGAGGAGGAGGAGGCAGAGTGGGGCTGCTGAGCAGTTGCTGACACCCTCTCAGTGCTGACCCCCGGTGCTCGGGGATGGGCTGCCAGCACTGCCCTGCCAAAGTTGACGTGGGCACGAGCAGATGGCAGCAGTGCTGCTGGGTGCCCGGCGTGCCAGGGCTGGTAGCTGTGAATCAGCCCTCACCTTTCCCATGGGTGCAATTCCCACCTCCAGTGTGGCTTCCAAGAAAACCGTGGGCGAGGGTGAGGACTGTGCCATTCCCAGCAATGGTGCCCTTCTTGCTCCCACCCTGGGGGGAGGTTTGGGATGTCTGGGTGTTGTGCTCCTTGCAGTAAAATGCAAGCTGCCAAACGACGCTCAGAGAGAAGGATATTGAGGCCAATAGGAACAGAGCAAAGAGGAATAGAGTGGTGAAGCCGAGCTGCGCACGTGCAGCAGGAGAAATGGATGAATGCAATGACAGGGAGCAGCTCTGGCTGCAACCATCGGAGGGATCGATGGAGACCTGCATTGCTTTGTGTTGTACAGGGTTGGGTGGGGTCGGCCAGCTGGCACAGCCATTTCACAGCCAACATGGCCAGCATTGAGGACAGGTGATGAGTGATGCCCCTTCCTGAGCTCAGCACTGCGCTCTTCTCACACAGATGGGTTTTGGGGTGGATTTGGGGCACGGACAGCAACCTCTGTGGCTTCACTCCTCCCCGCATTGCCTGCCCTGCTGCTGCCCAGCACCATCCAAGAGCGATGCCCTTTTAACATTAAAGCCTCTTTGTGCAAACCCATGGGGCAGAACGAGGTTTGCAAGCAGCTCAGCCCAGCACAGGTCAGGGCATGGCTGAACCCCCCCGGGCAGGGTCCAGCTCTCTGGAGCCACTGCTGTGCAGTGAGGGGGGGAAGTGAACGCCCCTGCTCTTTCCCACGTGTTGTTGTGCTGCTCAAATATTTGCTTTGGAAAGCGCTGCCTTGCCCTGAGCCCCACAGCCAAGGCCGTCCCCAGCTGCTAGCACTGGGCAACCAGGAGAGATCCTGCTCAGATGCAAAACCACACGGTTAAGGAAAATCAGCCCAGGTTCAGCCTCGTGCCCTGGGATGCTCTTTGGGGGTCCAGGACCTTGCTGGGGGTGGGATGGGGAGATGCTGGAACATCTGTGCCACTGAAGAGTTCCACAGAATCACAGAATGGCCGGGGTTGGAAGGGACCTTAAGGACCATGAACCTCCAACCCCCTGCCACATGCAGGGCCACCAGCCTCCACATTTCACACCAGCCCAGGCTGCCCAGGGCCCCATCCAACCCAGCCTTGAACACCTCCAGGGATGGGGCATCCACAGCCTCTCTGGGCAGCTGTTCCAGCACCTCACCACTCTCACAGCAAACAACTTCCCCCTGACATCCAACCTCAATCTTCCCTCCTTCAACTTCAAACCATTTCCCCTTGTCCTGCTGTTATCTCCCCTTTCCAAGAGTTCCCAGTGAGAAAACCTTCTGCCTTTTCTTTCTCCTCCTCCTCTCACTGTCTTCCTCATCCTCCTCCTTCACCTCCT